GCCGCCCCCGCCCGGCCTCCACCACCCGCGCGGGGCCCCTTGGCGGCCAAATCCCCCGCCTGCGCGCCCCCCTCGGCGGCCACTGCCCCCGCCGGCGGCCACTACAGAAGAGAGGAGGAGGAGGCAGGGGAGAAGAGAGGAGAAGGGGAGAAGAGAGGAGGACGGGAGAAGAGAGGAGGAGAAGGAGAAGGATAGGAGAAGGAAGGTGCCGGCCTAGGCCCGTCGACCCTCACGCCGCTATGGTCGTCCCCGTCGTCGTTGCCGACCCTCGTTGTTGCCATTCTCGTCGCGAAGGTATGCCCTACACCTATTGTAGTTAGTAGTAGTACTTAGTAGTGGTAGTAGTAGTTAGTAAGTAGTAGTAGTTAGTAGTTAGTAGTGTTAGTAGTATTGTTAGTAGTAAGTAGTGATAGTAGTAGTGTTAGTAGCAGTAGTGTTAGTGTTAGTAGTAGTTGTAGTTGTAGTAGTACTTGTTGTTGTACTACTTTGATACTTTCATCTGCATGGAAAGAGAACTAAAGTACATGGCTCGTCTTGGTATATATATGTTTGTTGGCCTTTGTGCCTATGTTTGGTATATATGTGGTTGTTGGCCATCGCGCCTACGTTTCTTGCAGGTTTTGGAAACCTCCCCGTGCAGGGGAGGTGCTGCTGAAATTTTTAATGGATTCTAACCTATTGCCTTTTTATGTAGGAGAAGGACCCGTGGGAGGGACTCGGCAACCCCGATCGTCTTCGTCGGCGCTGCTGGTCTGCCTGCACCGCATCGCCTTGCCACTGCCCCGCTAGCCTGACTCTACCGCCACCCTAGGTATAACCCCCTCCTCCTTTGCATGCATGTTTTATATGGTCACGTAGCCCAGTTAGGCGTCTCCCGTTCGAAAGAGATACGGTCGTAGGTATGCAGATCTTTGCATATCTGCGACCATATCTCTTTCGGATTGTCCACGTATTTTGGATAGCCCGCGGATGCGTAGATGAGGTTAGTTTCCATGGTTCGCTCCGGTCTGAGACAGACTTTCGGCATCACCTCCCTGTTGTTCTCCGGATACACACTCTCCCTTGCAGGACGTGTATTGGGAGAACAGCGGGGAGGTGCTACCGAAATTCTGTCTCGGATAGGAGCGGAGCATTGAAACTGACCTCATCTACGCATCCGCGGGTGGGATTGGGACCTATCCTCACCTATTAGATGGAAGAACGCCATGCAGATGCAATTGCTGGTTATATTACTCGCTTACATATGTATATGCCAGAGGATGGAGAACCGTGATTGAATGTACATGGGTCATGTAAGTATAACCCCAGAATGGATGACTAAGACTAATGCTTTCTTGGAGCATTCATTTGGCGAGGCTGCTAGAGGGTCGAGTCGGATGCCGTGTCCCTACAACAAATGTGACAACCATGTAAGAAAGAATACGAAGAACATGGGGGAAGATCTTTGCAAGTATGGATTCACGCCAAACTATACCTGTTGGATCCACCATGGTGAAGCCGATCGTATTAGAGAGGAGGTGGTGAGACCATGCCTCGAGGCTTTTGATGGAGATGCTAGGGTAGCAGACTGGATGGATGACTTTCAGGAGGCACGGTTCGGTGAAGGATTAGAGGATGAGCCAGAGGAATCCGCAAAGGCGTACTACGATATGCTGTCTTCGGCACAGAAGCCCCTTTCATGAAAAGACAATGGTTTCGCAACTGAATGCCATTGGACACCTAATGGCGTTCAAGTCGTAGTGTAGCATGAGTCAAGACAACTTCGATGGTATGTTGGCAGTTGTTGGATCCCTGCTTCCGGAGGGTCACTTTCTGCCGAAGAACTTGTACGAGTCACAGAAACTTCTTCGTGCCCTTAAGATGCCATATGAGCACATCCATGCTTGTCTGAATGGTTGCGTCCTATTTAGGAAAGATCACGAGAAAGCAACGCACTGTCCAAAGTGCAAATCCTCTAGGTATTTGGAGGTCGACACTAGTGATGGCAAGAAGGAACAGCTTGGTATCCCCGCGAAGGTCCTACGGTACCTTCCTATCATACCGAGGATCCAACGGCTGTACATGACAGAGGAGTCCGTGAAACAGATGACATGGCACAAACATGGCAAAAGATAAAATGCTGACAAGATGGTACACCCATCGGATGGCGATGCATGGACCCATTTCGATGGCATACATCATGGTAAAGCTGAGGAGGCTCGGAATGTACGTGTAGTGTTGGCAACAGATGGGTTCAAACCCTATGGATTGCTGGCGGCCCCGTACACTTGTTGGCCCATGTTTGTGATCCCCCTCAATCTCCCCCCCCCCCCGGCGTCATGTTTCAACCCAAGAACATATTCTTGTCACTGATAATTCCTGGACACCCGGGGAACAAGATGGGTTTGTTCATGGAGCCTCTCATTGATGAATTGATCATTGCTTGGGAAAAGGGGGTACTGACATACGACCGAGCTACAAAGAAGAACTTCACAATGCATGTGTGGTACCACTACTCCCTGCATGACTTCCTGGCGTATGGCATATTCTGCGCGTGGTGTGTTCACGGGAAGTTCCCATGCCCAATATGCAAGACAGCTGTGAGGTTCACTTGGCTAAAGAGGGGTGGCAAGTTTTCTTCGTTTGACCAACATCGTCAATTCCACCCTCTTTGACCATCCATTCAGACGAGACGTCAAGAACTTCAGGAAAGGGGTTCAAGTCACCGACCCTGCACCTCAGATGATGACCGGTGCCAAGGTCCGTGCTGAGATAGAGGCTCTCAAAGATGATAAAGAGAAAGGTGGTTTTATTGGATATGGTGAGGAACACCAGTGGACTCATAAATCGGGCTTGACTAGGCTCCCCTATTTCAATGACCTTCTTCCACACAACATTGAAGTAATGCACATAGAAAAGAATATCGCCGAGGCGCTTTTTGCAACACTCATGGACATTCCTGATAAGTCAAAGGACAACGTTAAGGCTAGACTGGACCTGGCAACCCAGCCCCTGGACACAAACCTCCTGATGAGGCTGGGAGGAGGGAAGCAGCACGGCTGGTACTAGATGGCGGACAACACAGTCGACTCCTCCTCTGTTCCCATCCTCGCCGAGATTCGAGCAAGGAGCACAAGCTCCTCCCTCCCCATACGCTCTCGGCAGCAGAGCTCACAGCAGCAGATGGCGGAACTCTAGGTTAGTACTGTTTTATTCGTCGTTCATTGCTTTTACACATCTACCTTGCCTTTGCATTGTTTAAACATTGCGGGTGGAATGTTGTAGGCCGACTTGCGGAGGTTGGAGGCCCAGCAAGCGGCCCAGGCGGAGGCCCATCGGCTGGAGATGGAGGCTGTACAAGCCCAGAGGGCAGCCGAGGCGCAGAGGCTGCAGGACATGTTCAGCTTCATGGCGAGCCTTTAGGCCTTGCCAGGTGTGGTCGTACCCCAGTCGCTGCTCGCTCCAGTTGTGGCTCCTCCTCCTGTAGGGACTCCGGTGAGTATATATGGTTGTTTATTCCTTTAGCTTGTGTGGCCCTCATATAGATACTCATGAATTCGCTTCTCCTTTGTGCAGCCACAGTCGGCGGGTTCGAACCCGACTCCTCAAGGTGGCCCTTCTCCACAGGCCGAGTGGCCAACTGGCCCTCCTTAAGGTGGCAGTTCATACTCCGGGTGGGGAGGCTGGCAGTAGATACCGTTTATTTGTTTCTTTTCATGTTGCATGGACTTGTGTTAGATTTAGCCTTATGTTGGACTACTACTAGAAACATATATATATATTGTGATGGATATTGTCATGGATGATGCGAATGTATGTGATAGATTATGGACAATGGATTTGTATGTAATGTATTATGGATGGTGGATGTGTATGTGATGGGTTATGGTTCTGTATGTGATGGAATATGGATGTGTATGTGATATATCCTGTGCTTTGTGTTGATATATATGTGATTTCTTTGTTTGTGCTGATGGAAAGCAAAAAACAAAAAAAATAGCATTTTTCCCCTCTTTGCCGAGTGTCGTCACCATGGCACTCGGCAAAGCTGGGAAGCAGAGACCCAATTTCCCAGCTTTGCCGAGTGCCAGAGCCATGGCACTCGGCAAAGATTTTTTTTTTTAAAAACAAAAATTTCTTTGCCGAGTGCAAGAGTATAGCACTCGGCAAAGAATTTTTTAAAAAAAAAAAAATTCTTTGCCAAGTGCCGCTGAGGTGGCACTCGGCAAAGAGGCCGCCAGAGTTGACGTCAGATTTTTTTTTTTTTTTTGCCGAGTGCTGACGTGACATTCGACAAAGGCTTTACCGAGTGCCTGATATGTGGCACTCGGCAAAGAAACCTTTGCCGACGGGTTCTTTGCCGAGTGCTCTTTGCCGAGTGCGGCACTCGGCAAAGTCTTTGCCGAATGCAATAGGGGCTTTGCCGAGTGCCCTAAGCACTCGGCAAAGAGCCCGTCTGCAGTAGTGAGTTGAAGGAAAGTTGGGTTAAAACTTAAAAGAAACAAGTTGATCCATGCAGTTATTGAAACATAGGGCATCAGCGTGTTGGATTCTGATCGGGATCAATCGTCACTAGAATGCGCACCTCTCTCCTCTCTCAATCGCGATGAACACTAATGAACTCTTATGAACACGGACAGACACTGGATTTTTGGCGCAGCACAGGAACTGCTGCTTTTCTGGTTTTCTTCTCATTTTATTGATCCGAGATTACAGAGGACGACCTCATCCGATCACGCTCGCCCATGCCCTGCGAAATTGCCGTGCCATCCCACGGCCAACAGAACGTGGGCGACGTCGCAGCCGAAGAAGCACACGGCGCGAGCCACCGTGTCCAAACTCATCTACCTGCAAACTAGGGAAATCCAAACAGCCTAGGACATGGCTCTATGGGCGCAACATGTTACAGACAACACAGCGTTCCGTTATTACATAATAAGCAATAAAAGAGGAAAGGAGTTCAAAATGGTGTCCATGTGTGTGTCGAAAACATAAGAAATTCATGGATACTATTGGTAAATTCAGTTCGTCTTGGTGCCCAAGAGGAGGCTATCAAGTATTTCTGAGAAGCGCACAGAGAGCTGGGGTCTATCTGGAACAGGAACGGGGTGGAACATCCCACCCCGGGAATTATCCGCAATGGCTTGGAGACCCTAGCATCATATACACGACATAAGGATTGACTTAATAATAAATCAATAAACAATAATTTTGACAGGATTAGCTCGGAGATGACACGTACCTGATTATATGCGTCCCCGCCAAGAGTAAACGTGTGCACAGGGACTTCTGACTTGAAGTTCTCCGTTCCATCAAAGAAGTCTCCCTTGTTTAACAACCCATCGGAGAAGAACAAGATGATGCCGTTTTGATTACCTCGGTTCCTGAGCATTTTATGCGCCTCGGCGAGGCCTGATGCCATGTTTTTCGTGCAGGGTAACCTGCGCCAGTCAAATGCCGTGTAGCCAGTTGCCTTCGATTCTGCGGGGTCAACTACCTTCATATCCGACGTGTAATTGTTTGGGGTCAACATGGGGTAGATGTAACCCATGCAGCTGTCCACCAAGCGGGTGAGCTTCTCATGCACCAACCAAAAGATCGAGCCATCCACCTTGGACCAGGCCAGGGTAGACTCGGTGCAGTCAAAGGCATACACCATGACCACGTCAAGTGGATGATTTTCTGTAAATCAGTATATGGAGAATTGGTCATTCATCCTAATATCCATATTCTTGATGATCACTCCTGAGCAGTATCAGCTTTCACTTTTATTACTTACAAATACCTGAACTAGCAGTAGGAGGATTCACCTCTTCGAATGTGGTGCCATCAAAGATGCTATCCAGTAGCAACGAGAAACGTGTAGACAGCATCGGCCTTTCCGGGACGGGGATAGTGTGAAACTTGCCACCTGGGGAATTCGCCGCAATGGCACGAAGACCCTAATATGTACACAACATATGTACACACAGGTGTATATATTAAACTTATCAATCAGTCCATGGTTGTGATTGAGTTAGTCCTGATTTTATTTTATTTTTTTTGCATGGGAATTAGTTCTGATATCGTAAGTAGTCCATAAATTTGTGCTCTAGCATGGCCCTAAAATGGTGTGTTCTACTTTTTTAGTAAACCAACAAAATGTTATGTTACATAAGCATTAAATGTTTTGTGCATAAATTTAGTGCATACAACTAATAAAATTTGACTATCTTTCATGTATGTCTATTCGTTTCCTGAAACAATACCCATAAAGATAATCTATTATTTTGTAAAACCTCTATATGTGCCTCATCATTTACATTGCACCTATGTGGGCTTTTAGCACTATTTAGTTAAATCCTTAAGTTATATTAGCTCTTGTTGAATATTTTTTTATACCATGAATATACATGTAGTGCTTTCAATCTTTGGTGCTTATTGTATCTTTGTTTCAAAGCTTTCTTTTTATATTGCGTTATAAAATGGATTCTTAGCTCCTATACTACCCTTTTTAGTTACAACAATGGCATAGACAGTCGTTTCAACTTATTCCACGCAGTCAAGATGTTGAATTTCCTCTATCAAAGAACTCTATGTGTAGTTGTCACATGTCCGACCCGGGCCCCCACGTCGGGCTTAGCAGGCCAGGAGAGGCCTGAGACCCAGCCCTGGCCGACGCCAGAGCCACCCGCGAGCGGCATGGAGGGCGCGCAACTAGGGGGTGGGCCACCACCGCCCCCTCAATATCCCTATATCTGGGAGAATTTAGAATAAAGGAAAGTTGAGAATAAAAATAGGTAAAATAAGTGGAGAATTGTTTGGGAAATAGGATCGAGATTATTTAGGAAAAGGAGTTTTGCTTAGGAAAGAAGAGTCCAAATCTATAAGGACTCTTCTTATAGTTTCTTGGAGTGCAAGTCCTATAGGGGCAACGTAACTATTTCTATCTAAGCAAGGAATTTGTTTGATTATGCATGTGTTGTTTTCCTTGCTCGATGTTTTTCTTGTTTGTCGACGCTAGACGGCGTAGGATAGAAGGCGTGGAGAGAAGCCGATGGAACTTAGAAGCACAATTACAAGAGGACATAGGAGCAAAAAGCACAAGGATCAGGATCTTGGAATAAGGATATGATCGTTGGCAAGCGGAGGCAAGTCCTAACACCCACCTACCCTTCCCCTCTGTATACCCTGCCACACCTAAACCACCCCATTTTCCACCACCACCATGATACCACCTCCACCCAAAAACCTACCACTTACTATTCTCATTAATTATCTAATAAACCTCATTTATATTATTCATGTCATTATCCTCGTATGGATAAATGTTATGAGCACTTGTGATATGATATAGCCTTCATGGTATGAGCATTTATGATATATTATGAGTTTTATGTTATGGATAAGCTAAGAACATGGATCATGATGTTAATTGAACTGGTTCATTTGCCATCTTGCCTAGCCAAAATTTCGTAGAGCCACATGTCTATATGGGTAGACTTGATCTCACACCCCGTTAGATAAAAGTATAAATTCTACTAGGAGGCCGGTGTGGCAACGGACTATCAGGAGACTACATGGATGCTGGGTGATCTTCCGTGGTCTGGTCGGCATGGATGCTATGTGGTCTTCCATGTAAAATTATCGTTGTGCCATGTGCGAATATATTGGATGATGTGTGATTCATCCAAGTTGTTGTGGTTGTTGTGTGTTTCCGACCCCTGAGAAGCTGTGGTAGAATTATACGGAAATCTAAGGTCGCGTACATTCGGGTACGGAATCTTGTTTGGCCTGTTTCTGTCACCGTACATGGTTAGAGGTTGTGTCTATCATGTGGGGAAATTTGTACAACCTCTACAGAGTGTAATGAATCTATTCGAATACCCATGTCCTTGGAATAGGCAATCGCTGGGATGAGGTCTCAAATGATTAGACTCTTTTATGTGTAATGAAACTATGACAATGTGGTAAGTCAATCACTATAAACCCGGGAACTGGCGAGAAGGGTTAATACTCTCCCAGGGCCAAAACTCCATTTTTAAATACCACTCCTACCAAATACACCTCCGCCGTAAACCACCTTCACATATAGCCTCTGCCATCCGCTTCACCTTACCCCAAAGTTAGGGCTTGTTGAGTACTTTTGTACTCATTCCCCTCCATTCTATATTTTTAGGAGACAAGCTATAGGAGTACCTACAAGGATGGAGTTACCGAGTACTATGCAAGGATAGGACAATAGGAAGGTTCAGAAGAGGAAGCTGTACGACTACGAAAGAGAGCTAAGCTAGGACTACCACGATTAAGACATAGGATTAACCTTAAAGATAGGGTTTTCGTCCGCACTCTAAGATGCCTATAGGAATAGAGCCACGACGGCTTAGGACCACTGTGATAGAACTCCGATATTCAATATAGGGCCAGAGGCCCACTCCATGTAAACACAAACATTGTAATATGTTTCCCCCGCTAGCAATAAAAGTATAGTTTTTTATATCAATCTTGTTCAACTATGCGTATCAACTACTGATCTAGGGACTGATACATGATGCACAGAGGACCGTAAAATAGGGGCGCGACAACCCTAACCCCCACGAGCCTACAGTGAGTCACCACTCGCTTGCCCTGCTTCGCCGGCATGCACGCCATGACCGTCGCCTTGTTCTCCCCACCTAGGATGCTCAAAGGTGAAGCCTTTGGCCATCACCAAGCACCACACGCATGCACATGACCACAACGGCCATAGTCCGGCGATGCCGAGCCACCTGGGCTTGCGAACGCCCATGCCGGCGTACTGCACTTGCCGCGCCTGCCATGGCCAGACCCTGCCACGATGAGCCCCTATTTCGATGGATCTAGTCTGATAAAGGTAGAACCATAGCCGTAGTGAGCTTCGCCTTGCCACGGGACACGCGTAGCCCTAGCTGCGCTAGCTTAGATGCCCGAGAATTGTTGGTCACGTTCGTGACACCAGTGGAGCCATGTGCCTTGCCACCATCATGCCAGAGATGTTTCGGTTGAACCCAGACACCTCACGCGACGAGGAGGCCATCGATGTCTGCCGTGACTCCGTGCACCTTGCCAAGTAGATGGTTGGACCAAGAGCCATGCCTTGACCCTAGTTCGCCAGAGCCAAAGCTTCGCCGGAGCTCTACCACGCCCATGGCCTAGACCTAGACTCCACCGTTTAATCCATGGCCAGCCGCAACCAAGCCACCAGGCCACATCTTTTGACCTCTGTTGTGCCCGTCGGTGAACATGGAAGCCATAGGAGGCCATAGACGCCTTGCCCGGTGCCTAGCTGCTCACCGTCGATGCCGCCGTGCCGCCGCATCCACCGTGTCACCATGGCTAGCCATGCTGAGCCCCAAGGCGCCGCCTTTGGCATCTTGTCACGCTCGGTGGAGCCTCGTAGAGCCCTAGGAGGCCGTAGCCGCCCCGCCGGACCACCACCAAGCCCCATCGTGTGACATTGTCATCGCCGGCGAGCCCATAGAGGCCTACGTCGAGCACCTAGTGAGCGCCTGGATGGAGGCACTGCACCTCAACCCTTGCATGCGCCCAATCCACCGTGCGTCATACGTACCTGAGCAAAAGAGAACTTGGTCCACCATGGACCATGTCTGTGGTCCACGATGCACCAGGTTGCCAGTCTACCACAGACCGAGCCCATAGACTCAGCCCAATGGTGGCCTAAGCTACCACGTGGATGCTCCCAACGCCTGACACATGTCTGGGCCAGCCTAGCCTAGACTGGCCCAACCCGGCCCGTATTCGGCCCATGACCAAGCCCAATGAACCTTGACCATTGACCAGTAAACGCTGACCGTTGACCCGGTCCCACCTGCCAGTGACCCAAGTAACGTCGACCAATCAGACGCCACCATGTGTCGCCTATGTGTTAAACCCTCTTTTTCTTTTTCAAAAAATGATTTAAACTTAGAAAATTCATAATAAATTCGTTCGACCTCACAAAAATATGAAACCAGTGTCCAAATTTTTCTAAAAATGAGCTCTACATCATAGTCTTATGTTTGAGTGCATTTGGATTTTTGGTTGTCCATTGCTTCTTTGTGATTATCTATAGGAGTTGCTTACCGCGACTATATGTCTCGTTTGACGGCCCCAGAGGAGCAGGAGTTTGAGGAGGATGACTACGAGTATACGGCGGACCTCAGAGATGACCAGGCTATAGGTGCCATGTCCCACCCAACCTCGTAGAATCCTATTAGTCATGCAATGAAATAGCTGCTAGTGCTTTACTTTTATGCAAATGAATTGTGATAAGTTGCATGGTAGTAATGCTTGTGAGCCTATACCTTGACACAACCTTACTCCGGCACAACAACTATTAGGCTAGAAGCACGCTCTTATTCTTACTGCTTACTTCTACTACGCATTATATCTGTGATGTGATGCATGGTGGAGGATTGCTTGTGAGTGGTTAAGGCACTTGGTGGCAATAAAATGATAACAACTGGGAGTTCTTGGTGTGTGGTGAGGGTTGAGTCGACCAGACAGGATTCTAGGACGAGTCTTTGGACAAGTCTTGCCAGGGGGGTGTGACCTGGGCATCTCCTATGTGAGGTACCTATGGCGGGTAAATGTGAGGTGAGTAGATTCCAAGGAGGAGACTATTCATGGGGCGAATCCTCAGGATGGAGGTGTCATCGAGGCACAGGGTGTTGGTTATCCCCATTTGAGAAGCTGTCTTGTTTGGTCATCATAAGGACTCATACGTTCTAGGAATCGGTTCATAGGAACCATTGCACACCACTCGCTCCTGATACGGCAAGGGATGGATGTGAACGAACCTAGGCGATGCCACTACTGCTAGGTTGTAGTTGATAGTGTAGGGAGGCATGAGAGTCTGGCTCTAACCCTTTCCGAGACTAGTGGTGACCTTGGAGGCCCGGTACTACCTTTCATAGTCTTAGCATGCCGGTGGACTCCGGGGTGGCATAGGGATGAGTGGCACGGTGGTATCGTTCCAGATTAGAGACCAGCCCGGAATCAGTCTAGGTGGGGCGCCACCAATTATGCTGATCTTGTGGATCCTGGTGTAAACCTCTGTAGAGTTTCTGGTTGATCGATCAATACATAGTCGTTCTTTTATGGTTATGGACCTTTCCTATGGTATCGCTTCACTTGACTAGAGAGAGGTGTCCTTCTTCTTCCCCCTGGTTTGTTACGGATTCCGGCTGTTAGCCGATGAGGTAAGGTATGAGAGGGAGTCGTCCTTGTCGCCTAGAGAGTGAGAGTGTGGTGAGATGTGTGGACTTGTGTGTGGATGGGATGGATGGATGGAAATGGGTTAAAACATGGAAAACAATTATAAAATATTGATGAACATGCATAGGAAAACTACAGCCAAACATAGGCCTTTTGCTCTACCCTTACATACTACTTACCACAAAGCAAACACAAAGCATAGGGTGGGATGCGGTGGCCAGTACAAATCATGCTGATAATTATTCTGCAGGTGTCGAGTTCGACGACTAGGCCAATGAATGGGAGGATTGGAGGAGCTTGTCCTACGCTCAAGTTTGCCTGTGAAAGAGGAGCTTCATTCCGCTGTGACACTACGTCTACTCCGATGCTGTTATGGATGTTGTGTGACTCTGATGATTCCACCAAGTGGCATAATTAGTAAACCTTCTATTATATTTCTAAGACAGGTTTTCGATGTATGACTTGTGGTATCAACTGTTATTTGATAATATGATGGCATGATCGCCTAGGACTATCACATTATAATTCGTATCTGTGGATTTCCCTTCGTGAAAATTGTGGATCGTTATACGCGGCCCGGGCGGTGGGCCACCACCGCCCCCTCAATATCCGAGAGAATTTAGAATAAAGGAAAGTTGAGAATAAAAATAGGGAAAATAAGTGGAGAATTGTTTAGGAAATAGTGTCGAGATTATTTAGGAAAAAGGATGGTTTTGCTTAGGAAAAAAGAGTCCAAATCTATAAGGTCTCTTCTTATAGTTTCTTGGAGCGTAAGTCCTATAGGGACTATAAATATAGGGGCAATGTAACTATTTCTATCTAAGCAAGGAATAGAGCTACTGCGCTCTCTCTCTCTCTCTCTCTCTCTCTCTCTCTCTCTCTCTCTCTCTCTCTCCGCCACCAATGCCACCACCCTGCCCTGGCCGCGCCGCCAGCACAGACGTCGGTGTTGGCAGCAACCACTGCCACCACCCTAGGTTGACACCACCCCCTAGCCCTAGCCGCCCGAACCAGCCCCCCAGGATCAAACCCTGACAGTAGTAGTATTTTACTAAAAAAATAGAGTACATACAAATAAACTAAAAATATTTATGTCATAATATTTCAGTCAAAATGTATAATTTTATCCAAAGTAACATCTTACAAAATTGTAGACATAGAGTTTTGAATATAATGTAAAATCAATTATCGTCGCTGGTACATGGTTTGTTCAGGTAGCATTCTTTTTACGGTCAACAAACTATACAAATATATATTGTTTGCTAAAGTATTCATGTATGGATTGGAATACGTAACATTTATGTTAATGTTAATTCATCGGTAGTAGTAGATAATATTGAAACATATATAATGCACTTCTGTAATTATTTAATTATTTCCGTAATAGTTTATATCTATAGTACAAACATACATTTGTGAGGAATTTAGTTTATATAACACATATGTGAGTACTTTAGTTGAGAGCTAGAGGGGATGTTCCATATCATCTCTCATAATGGCTTATGAGTATAATTAGGGGTTACCTTAAATTATCTTTCAGTGATAGGTGTTGGTTGTTTAGGTGTAGATTTAGAAGTTATTTTATGTTTTTCATAATGGCAGGACTGTCAACACTTTTAGAAAATAGGATAGATCCCATGGCTGTTATTATTTTACGATGATTAGAGTCTACTGAATTACTCGAAAGATCCATATGTATTTGGTTGAAACCTAAGCTCAAGTTATATTTACTCTTGTTGCATCGCGTTTTATGACATTTTGGCTTCCACTTTTGACCATATTACTTGTCCACATACAATTGTTAAGAATAAACTCTAGTGCTTGTTTTATGTTTCACACGAAATGTACCTTCCATATTTTATTCAAAAGTATATTCTAGGTTCTATACTACACTTTTAGCAACTATAATGGCATAAGCAATTGTTTCAGTTTGCACCATGGCACTCAAGATACTGGATTCACTATACTGAAGAATTTTATGTGTAGTACTATTATTTTATAAAAACATGAGTGCTTATAATCAACTTCTCATGATTGACATGTGATATTATTTTAGTCAAATGTATAAACTTATGTGAAACAATTTGAAAATTCTATAATTTAAAGTGAACATTTAATGCCGTCGGCTTGTTGCTTGTTAAGGGGACATTTTTACATGGTTGATAAACTATTAAAACAAACACTTATCCTATTTTTCTTATTTACTTGGTATACATGATTGCACATAGAATTTATGCATATATTTAATTTAACAATGTTAAAACTGTGTAATTTATAAAAATATATAGTATAAATTATGTTTATTGAAATATTTTCCATAATAGCTTGTCTTGCTATTTGGATGTGATTTGGTGGATATTTTATTTTATTTTTATATGACTTAGGAGAGAAATTTAGATACAAATTAAAAAGATTTATTTTATATTTCACAGTAGCAGGACTAGGTATTTAAAAATAAATTTTATAGATGCATTGCATTAACTTTCATAATGATAGAGGTGGGTATTTTAAAGCAAATTTAGTATTTTCAATCATCTTTTAGAGTGGCACATACAGTAATTTAGATGCAAATTTTAGGTATTATTTCAATTTATATTCCATAATTATAGGGTTGTGTAATTTAATGCAAATTTAGGGGTTATATGGATTTTTCATAACGACGGAAACGAGTAACCTTTTAAAAACAACATGGTGGATATGGCTATTATTAGCGATGGGTGATTAATGTGTCTACCGTATTAACGGCCAGTCGTTACTGATTATTTTGGGGAAAAAATCCTAGTACATTTTAGGAGTTTAATAATGTGAATGTTTTATGGAAGATTTACAGTTAGAAATAATATTAAAGATACCTGGTTATACTCAACCCCGCCGAGAGTAAACGCGTGGATGGGAACTTTGGACTTGAATTTTTCGGCTCCATCAAAGAAGTCTTCTGTGTGTATCAACCCGTCAGAGAAGAGCAAGATGATGCCATTCTGGTACCCACGGTTGTTGATCATTTTGTGTGCCTCATCAAGTCCGGATGCCATGTTTTTCGTGCAGGCCAACCTGCGCCAGGCGAATGCTGTGTAGCCAGTTGCTTTTGTCTCTTCTGGATCAACTAATTTCATATCCGATGTGTACGTGTTACCATTCATCATGGGGTAGATGTAGCCAAGGCAGCTGTCGATGTAGTGGGTGAGCTTCTCTTGCACCATCCAAAAGACTCCATCATCCACGGTGTACCACGCTGAAGTCCAGTCGGAGCAGTCAAATGCATACACAATGACCACATCTAGCTGCCCCAGCTCTGCAGACCAGTCAGTTTGCACGATTGATCACTATTCGTATATACCCATACTTTGTACTCCCTCCGATTCCAAATTATAAGATGTTTTTTGTTTTCTAGATTCATTGCTTTTACTATATATCTACACATAGTATATATATCTAAGTGTATAGCAAAACCAATATATAGAAAAGCCAAAACGTCTCATTATAATTTGGAATGGAGGCTGTAAGATGCATGCATGTGTTTTTATTTATTCTACCTGAACTGGAACTGAGAAGCTTGTCTGAAAAAGGGAGGAAGCTCAACTTCCCGCTCAAGTAATTAAATGATGAGGATGATGATAGAGCGTGGAGGCCCTATCATACACAGAAGAATACAAGACTTAATTAGTCAATATAATCATCACGACCTTGGATGTAAATGTAATATACTCCCTCCTTTCAAGTGTTAGACATTAAACCTGGCTCAACACTTTAGTGCCCATATTATTCAAATATCCTTGCTCCTGTACCCCTTGTTTTATTTATTTCAGGATCATGCAACCAATTGTTATTTTTATGCATGTCTCTACTTTGATGAGAATGTGCCACTGTGTGAATGTTGATCGTCTGTACGACATGATATATTACATCCAGGATTATTGTTTTATTGAAATCAATTCAGATGCTATTCGATATAAATGTATAATGGATCATGTAAACATTCTACGGCCCCGTTTGGTAGAGCTCCCACCGACTCCAGCTTATCTGACGCATTCACTGTTTATGAACTGCTCACAGGAGCTCTTTTTCTCTCTCCTCTCTTCTCCTCTCACGGAGCTAGTGGGAGTACTACTCATAAATATTTGTATCTGGAGTTGGTGGGAGCTCTACCAAACAGGGCCTACGTCATAAATATTTGTATCTAGGACTAGAAGAACCATATGGATTTAATTGGTGTTGTAGGTTTGCTAGTGAAAACAACAGTCCAACCATCCAAGAGCATCTGTATTTTATCAAGCTTCTATATTTTATCAGAATGGTCGTACCTGCTGGACAATTATGTCTTTGCACTCATCATCAGACGCTAGTGACAGCTTCCTAATTCTCGCTTCTAATTGTTCCAGTTCATCAACAACATCCTTTGTAGATGGCCTTTTGTTCCGATCAGCTACAACACACCTTAACGCAATTTCAACACATTTCTTCACTTGTAGGCTTTCTATTTCGTGTGATGGATGCCCGGACATTTCCTTCAGCCTTTTGTTCCAGTTTCCGTGTACCTGTTTAGTTGGTACACATAGGAGAAAAAAAACAAATAAAAGTATTATATAGTTTATGGAATTATGGGAAAAGATGGTTCCTCGTAATTTTTCCTACATACATGCTCGATAAACAGTTCAGGACTCATTTCAATAGAGCGTGTCCGACCCATATTTCCATCCATTAGTTTTATAATTAGAATTCCAAGACTGAACACGTCAAATTTAGTTGTTATACAACCACTACGCAGAAATTCTGGTGGCTTGTAGCCTCTGCATCATATGATTGACCGGCATCTATATGGTTAGTGCAGGATAAACAGAACTATGTGCATAAAACTTGTTGTTAGGCACTATACAAGAAACATGAGGCAGCAACTTACTGTGTTCCTTTGACATTCCATGTTACCAAAGTTTTTGTTGCGAGTCTGGACAAGCCAAGGTCTGCAATTTTGGCCTTCTTATTGTTGTCCAGCAAAATATTAGCGGGTTTTATGTCCAGATGCAAAATAGGTTTCTGGTATGCAGTATGAAGGTGATTTATACCCTCACATGTTCCTTTGATAATTTGGTAACATGTGGGCCAATCAAGATCACAAGAGTCATCTGCAAAAAATATGGAAAAAAACATACAAAGCTGCAGATCACGTATGCTAAAAACAGGGTGATATACAGAGTTTCACAGATCATCATACCTGCGATATGTTTCTCAAGGGTTCCACCTTGCATATATTCGAAACAGAGAATTCGCTCCACTGTTGTGGCAAAAAACTCTTTCCCATCGTATGTGACATATGTTTTCCTTGATTCATGACAGTAGCCAAGTAACTTCACCACATTCTCATGGTCGACCTTGCTAAGGTTACAGAATTCCTTATCGTCAAGCTCTTCCAACTGATGAAGCCTCTTCACTGCAATCTCTTTGCCTCTGTACACCCCCTGCCAGAAATCACTCGTTGATATAGATCACAAACTCCTAGTACGTACCCAGTTGTTTATCACTGAAACCTTGCAGAAACAATATAGTCTGTACTCATACCCTGTAAACATCTCCATACCTACCACTGCCAACTTTGTGCTCCTCTGAAAAGTTATTCGTTATGCTTTCAAGAAACTGGAGATTGAAATCCATGTCGTCAGACATCTTCCACCAGGCTTATGTTGGATCCTCTTCCAGAGAAAAAAGAAACTATTTCAGTTTATACTCACAAAGAATCTGTCGAACAAATGAATATGTTATAACAAGGAAGGGTTATCAGATCAGAACGATTACCACAAGATGTCTAACAATTAAATTGGACTAGAACTTTGATGGCATACACGACTAACTAATTTCCATGCGACCTTGTGCACAAAGGATGAAAGGAGCTTAGCAAGGCTAGTACTAGTACTTACCTGGAAAGGACACAGCGGAGAGAAGAGTGGGTCTGCTCCTTGGCAATGAGGATATCCCATCTACCCACATTTGTATAAAGGAGAGAACGAGGTACAACTTTCATAAACAAATACTGTTGACTTGAGGACCGATCAGATATATGGTCTAGCAGTTGGGACCTAATACCAGTTGGGACAAAAGGAATAAAATAAGTATGAAGACAGCAAAGAAAACAAGGGATGAGACAAATATGAAAGATAGCACAACACAAAGAAGATAGCTCTCTGGGTGTTGCTTATATATATGATTCTCTTCTCTTGTTTTCTTTTTTTTTTACTCTTTTCACCGTTCCATCTTTTTTGCATTTTTTTTCTTTTTTAGATATTTTTTCGAGCTTTGGAGCACACCAGAACCAACCACAAAAATTTGGAGCTTATAGTTGGAAAAAAGATGTGGCCCGTGCAATATAAAGTATGTGCTCTGAAAAGCATGGCGAAACATCCAGGCTAGAAACACAATCTTCTAGGCCGATTTTTGTAAAAATAATTTCGCAAATTTTTCTATCAATCTCCAAAAATAAATAATTTGCTCTTTCTCGAGTCCGTGTATAAAAGTTATGTCTGTTTTCAGGAAGGACCCACGGATCAGGGTTGTATATGGGCACAACAGGGTACAGGGATGGCGGGTGGTGATGAGTGTACGGACACAGTGAAGGGATCAACAAGGAGAGAACTAAAAAAACAAACTAAACCAGCAACTAGACTTTACCTAGGATACAAACACAAAACTATGGACTCTAAAACAAAATTATGGGGCTTTTGTAGACTATGGGATGAAGGCGATCAAAACTAAACCAGGGGAAAAGAAGAACCTTGTTGTAATACTTGGAGCTTTGGTTGCAATTTGATGCAGCATAAGTGCTCGATCTTCCGTCAGGTCGAGATATCGATTTTGTGGAGACGTCACACAAAAGATACCGACTTCTGATCAGAAAGATCCGAACCCCACTATTGCAGCACCATGTCTACTCTGGTTATCAACCGTAGACTACCCAATTGACCTTGCAATGAAGGCTACTTGACTCGAATCCAAGAACACAAGAAAGAATAAGAAATAACACAATCTGAAATATATATGTGGATGAGTTGATTGAGCACATGAAGTTCAGTTCTCACAAACTGATGAACGACGACAATTTAAGGATAGATTAATCTGAGCAAAACCAAACCTTAACTTGGGCGACGGCTACTAAAATATATAGTCAAAAAGACGGCCAAGGACCTCTTGACATGTCCCTAAATGACTCTGACATAAACGGTGCAACAGCCAAGACGATGGCGCAGCACTATAACATATTCTAGATGCCCACTGTTTCAACAATTCCCATAGATGCTAAAGAAATTTTAAGGTGAAACTAATGCAATTGGAAAGAATATATCTTTAGCTTTCCATGCATATACAGAACGTAGAAAACAGAGTCTGTATATGCCGATTTAGAACGTCGAAAACAAAGTCTGTATACACCAATTTTAGTGCCGACTGTTTCTAGAGTCCGAGATGAATTCGAGCTTGATATGGATTGGGGCTCCATCTTAGACGCCAACGCTGGTGTTCTGGACCTCCTTTTTACTCCCCAAGTACTTCTTGATCCTCTCTAGTATTCATAAGTAAGATAATATCATAAAGCCGTAATCTGCTCTCAAAAAGGATCACTTACAAATAAGTTCGGCTGGAGATTTAGTTGCCATACTCAAGCTCTGGTAATTAGCCATCGCATATCCATCGGAGAAGTGTCGTGTGTATCCTTGGAATCAAATGCACAATCCAATCACTTAGCCAAAATTTCTCACATTTTTTTTTTGTTTGGCTCTCCCCTAACTACCCGGATAGTGGAAAGTTTCTTCCGTCCCACACTTTTTACATCTCAAACTACACCCGCGCCCTCGGTGTCTCGTATATGGTCCCGACGCATGATTCGTGGTCATATACGAGTTAGAACAACTCGCATCTAGCGATGGTCGATACGAAATCCGATTCCAAAGACTTATTGAGCTGCGCTTTCCATATCTGTGAACCGGACACTTGACCCATGCCAGACTCATGATCCATGATCATATACGAGTTGGAACCCTCACGTCTAGCGATGATCGATACGGAGTCCGATTCCAAGACATATTCATCAGTCGTGCTCTCCATATCCCATATGTGACCCTGATTTATAACATATGTTCATACGAGTCAGAACAACTCGCGTCTACCAATAAGATAAAGTTCGATTCCTATACGTATTTGGTTTCATTGTAAAGCACGAGCATAGTTTGCTAGTAATTACAAATTTACAAAATATAATATAAAATAAATTAATTGCTGCAATTTAGGAGACTGTATCATATGAAACTAACGATGCCGCATCAACCGCTTACAAAACTTGTGTACCTTGCCACCACCGCACAGAGGCGCCTCATTGCATCGGCGATAGAAACAGGCATTGATAGGAAGATCAGGATTCCATGGCTCGAAGGCCACGGCGGCAAGGCGACCGCATGGTGTTCACAGAGTGCGATGCCATGGAGCGGCGGTGCATAGCCAAGCTCGGCATCTGGGGCTCCAATGTCTGCAAGCTTAGTGGTCCAGCTACATGTGAAGCATCCTGTTGGGGCTAGCGCCCACAATGAGGCTCTATCTGGGACACTGCTCGTCAGCAGTGCAATAGGCGCGGTGTTGGCATTCCGGCCATGCCACACCCTGTCCTGCATCACGCATTACACTGAAAGCCGCGGTGGGAGTGCACACTTCAGAAGGTATGATGGAAGGTATGGAGGAAGGACGTCATGCCTGCATGGGCGAGCTAGAGGAGACAGTTGCTGTGTCTGAGGAGGTGGACGAGGTGGAGGAGAGAAACCACACATGCCATGAGTGTTCGCACACTAAACAAAATTAAACAATCGTTTCTTTTACATCTAAATCTTCAGTCGAATAAAAATTTGTATACGTTTTTTATTAACTCCGTTGGAACGCACAGGTGATTTTGCTTGTCTTATATAAATTGGACAGGGAGTATAGATCATTGTAGATTTACGTTACATGTGTATACCAAATGAGTTGTTGCGAATCTGGCCCACCTGAGACCTGACCACCCTTTTTCCCAGAGCTGGTCGATCGATAACTATTGCCCTTCGGGCCTCGACAACTGGCAGTGATCTTAAATCCGTAGTCACATACTATGGAAAATGAGTTATATGACCGAATAGGAAACGAAAGCCAAAGATAGTTTTAAGGATGGGCGTTACTAGCGTCCGGACGTCCGGATGGACGCCGTGTCCGGACGCCCGCGCGTATTCATGCAGCACCTGCCCAGCCGCACGCATGCTGCTGCTGCTGCGCTTGGCCGCGCGCTGCTATTGCCGTTGCCGCCACGCGCTGCTGCTGCTGTTGCCGCCGCGCGCTGCTGCTGCCACGCCTACCGGCCCAACCCCGCCTGCTGCTGCGGTACGCATGTGCCTGTTGCTGCGCATGCACGTGGGGGCCGCCGTGCCCACTTCGCTTCCCGGGCGCACGTGGGACCGCTACGCCCACGGGGCCCACATCCCATGCCTGCTCAGGGAATACCTGCAACATGAAGCATTTTGCTGCAACATACATCTGAAACAGATAAAACATTTAGAACATACGCTTGCAACATATGTGTATGGCCATTGTAACATATGAAACATCCAGATGAAACACTTGCAACATACGTTTGAAACAACTGAAACATTTAAAATCACTTGCAACATACGTGTATAGTCAGTGCAACATATATAACATCTAGATAAAATACTTGCAACATACATTTGAAACGGCTGAAATATTTGAAACATACACTTGCACCATACTTGTATATATAGCCATTGCAACATATGGAACACCAAATCTACTTTTGCAACATCCAGATGAAACATATGCAACATACATCTAAAACCCATGAAATATACTGTTGCAACATGTGCTCATCTACTTGCTATCGCCTAATGGAGGCTCGTCGACGCCGGTGTGGAGCTCGACGCCGGTGTGGAGCTCGATGCCACGGAGTGGCGCGGAGGTCGCCCACGGTCCACGGACCTCGGCAATGGCCGGGGCAGGCAGATGGATCACGGCCGCGGCGCGAGGCGTGGGCACGCAGCACGAGGCACGGGCAGAGGTGCGTGGCGTGAGGCGTGGGGTCAGGCGGGTCGGTCCTGTCCGAAAGGACAGACTCGCTGAGGGTATCATTATCGTTTAAGGATCCCTAGCTCAGCATGTGCAATTTGACCTAGTACATTCGTCCAATAGGTTCACGCCGGCTCCAGCTGCAGCAGTAGAATGTTTCTTCTGACTTCTGAGTAAACCAACAGTTAGCAACGGCAACGGGAACAAATCTGCTGAGTTTGTAATCCAAATCCTTGTCCATGAATATAAATATATCCGCTAAAAATTTATGACCTGTCGCACGTATAATTTTGTGTAGCCGCTCGGATCATGCATACCCAACGGGTCGTCCGTGTCTTGACACACCACGTCCCCATCAGTTAGTAGATGGTAGTGTAGTATATATTCACAATTGTCATATACTCATGTATACATACTGCATAGTGCAATAAAAATAAATATAAATAAGAAATCACATTTCATCAACAATACAACTAGTCACCATAGTTCATATAGCAATAGCATATATATATCAAGGAAAGGGTTCAAATTATTCCCCTCAAGTTTGACATTTGTCCGTATAACCCCTAAACTAATATTTGGGACGATTTATTCCCCCAACTATTTGAGTCGGTGCAGTTTACCTCTTAATAAGATTTGTTATTTTTGTTTCTCAAGATATATGTTGAGTTTTAAGATCAAATTTGTGTAAGTGACAGAAGACATCATAAGTTATGCTAGAAAAATATTTTTAAAATTTTCACCACTATTTTGCTAGGTTATGTAATTTAATAATAAATTAACGCTAGAGATACAATATCGTAAGAAATATAATCATGAAAACTTCATAATATATTTTTCTAACACAAAATATGACATCCTCCACCTTAAAATTTTAAAACTAAAACACAATTTGTACATAGAGAAACAAAGGAGAAAAATCTTTTTATGGTGCAAATTGAACTAACTTGAGGGAGTAAATTGAAGCAGATGTTAGTTTAGGGGTTATCTAGACATTGTCCAAACTTGAGGGGAGTAATTTGAACTTTATAAACCAGTCTGGGTCTTAGCCTATCGGATGCAGCGGGACGCGGAAGCTCGAGCGCAAATGTGCAATCTAGATGTGTGCACCACTGCCGCAGTGTGGCTGGGAGGGGAGGGGAAAGGAGCGAGCTAGGTTAGGGTTTGGGATGGGAACACGTCTTATATACACCTATAAATAGATTACTAGATTAGTCTAGTTGAGAAATTTGTTGTATTGCAGGCTGATATGAGCTACTCTTCTACGATGGATGAGTTTAAAAAACCCATGGGTTTGTGGGTTTAGATACTACACCCCGAGACTCACGCGTAAACCCGCAGGATATGTCTTTTTGCACATTAACAAATTCATGGTAGAGGAATTGACTTGTGTCCTTATACTAGTAGGATAAAAACCCGTCGTACACGGTACCGTCTCTACCAGCAGTATATACTACTTCCTCTATGCATTCACCTCAGTGATCAGAGTTTCGTTCTAAAGCTTTTTACAACTCCAGTCCATGATCGAAATCCAGTGTAGAGGTTATTCGATCATGAAAAGGAAGAGGCAAAAGAAAAAATAAAATAAAATAATGCACACTCACGTTTTTATCTTGATGGCTAATGGTCCCCTCGAGAGTCGAGAGAGAAGCAGCCCAATTTCATCCTGCTGCATGGGCTGAAGTAGGCCTAAAGGCCGTCCAGCCTTGGCCTATCACACGCAGCCCAATGATAAAGCCCATGTAGTACAAGAGGGGCAGAAGAAAGAGAGCAAGATTGCTTCCTTGTTTACATTTTCTTGACAAAGATGAGGAAATTTTGGTTAATTTGAAGCAATAATTTTGACTGTACGTGCAAACGACGGACAAAACTATTCGCCTAGGAAATTTTATAAAGAATAGCTTTATAAAAAGTAGTAGGAACTCCTGCAAAAAACTGTATAGTAGGATCTGCTGGCTGCTCCCGTTCCCTCTTGAATGATTCAACAAAACAGTCTTGAGTTCAGGTCACGTCTGCCTATCTGCTTTCCGGACTCTTCTACTTCACTCTGCAGCTACAGATTTATAGACCGAGCTCGTCTTTGCCACATCAAGATCTGCAGGAGAGCATTGCCTAATAGGAAAAAGAAAACGGTCAGTGCTCACAATGCTGCTTCCAAAAGACAATAAGCGCAACTAGAATAACTGCTATCTCTGATTAGGCTACTGTCGAGTTCATCAGAACGCTTCGTGAAGGATGTTTCAAAATATTGTGATTTGTTTTCAAGAAAAGAACAGAATATTGAAATTGAATATAAAATGTAGGCTTTCAAGACTCAATTCCTGAAAGGTAACGCATTAACAATAAGAGGAAGTAAGCAATATGGCTGGTCTATTAAAGTGTGCATTATTACGGCTACCACTAAACTCTGTGAAGGTATCTACACCCCCTGTTCTCTATTAGATGACGTTTTGCGAAACAAGTTAATGCAATCCTCTATTCAACCAAAAACAATTCTACCTGTGCATGTGTATGTCCACATGTCCCAAAGGGCTGATGGCAGGGGCATTTACCCCCAAGCTTGTGCATGCATGCATAAAGAGGCAAAAGGTAACATTCATCTTTGAAGTAGACTCCAAATCGTCAAGCTTCAGACAATGGGCATTTTTTGCATTATAAGTGGTGAGTCGGCTCGCCATGAAAAAAAGCTGACACATGTACGTTTTCTTGAGTCGACTCTTGCTTTCTCTAGTGGTGAGTCGACTCCTCGTGCAACGTGGCCGCGTGTGTCTCTATTCTGATTTTTTTAATCGCGATGAACCGATGCAAGAATATGAGTCGACTTCTTCTCTCTCCTTCTTTGAGTCGATTAGTGCAGTGGTATGAATCGATTCATGGTGGTCCAGCTAGGACTCATGAATCGCTTTTGGCTTGCCACTGGAGAAGCCCTAAAGGCAACACATAACAACTAAATCCGGTGTATATGGTAACCAATTACTTGCAAAAGAACTATAGTCCATACCTTAAGACACTTGGGAGCTGAACTAGGCTACGCTTATTATTAGCTGCTTCTTGTCCTCATGGCTCTGCTTCTCCATTACTGTGTCATTCTTTTACCAGTTCTGACTCAAGAAATCTGTGCAAAGCTAGTGTAGGATAATTAGGAAGCATACTGGCTGCACTCCGGATAGCAGCCTCTAGTGCCTCCACTTCTTTAACTCTTGAACCTTCGCAGTGAACATTGACAACAAGATTCCTGAGGGTGGAGAGGTGGCTGATGCCGAAATCTGGAGGACCAAATCTGCATGCAGTCTGCACCTCATGCACTATGATTTGAAATTCAAGAGTTTCAAGCACTGGAACAGCTCCTTCTTTGAACATCATATTTACCCAACCAACAAAAATGAACTTCTTCAAACATCGGAATTCATTGTTGCTGACGACAAGGCACCTTACCTCAGATCCTGCTGCATTTGAGCACAATTTCAGGAATTGTAAGGCAGGGAAATCTCCAAGGATCTGGAGAGTTTCCTGTCTAACTTTAACTTCAACATCCAGGTAGGTGAGGTTGGTTAGCGAGACCATCCACACCGGAATCTTGCTGAGATGCCATCCTTTGATCACTAACTCCTGAAGGAGATGTGGAGTTGGGGACCAAGGTTCCAACAAGAAGTCTAGCGGCCATGGACTGATGAGTGTTAAATATCGAAGGTTCGAACTGCCTAGTTTGCCAAGTGAAGAAACAAAATTATCCTCATAAGTTTTTTTATCCCTGTGCAGGGGATTGATGCGCCAATCCAACTCAAGAGTTCTCAATTTGGTCAAGCTGCCCAGCTCTTGCAATAAGGATGTTGATGTAGTGTAGTCAACAACTATAAGTGAAAGAAACTCTAGCACTTGCATGTTCCCAACTCCATCTGGCAAGTTCATTCGAGGAACAATTAACCATTTCAAGTGCCGAAGTTCAACAATACTTGTAGGCAATTCACCTAGATTAAGACAATTCAGAAGATCCAGTATGACCAAACACTGAAGCTCTCCTATCCTTTCAGGAAGTGTAATATTACTTGACTTAATCCGTAGGTATCGCAACTGAAATAACTTCCCTATATCTTCCAGATAACAGTTTTCCAAATTCTCATTACCATCAAGATCAAGCACTCTTAGGGAGCGAAAGCCTGAAAGAGGAAGCATTCCTTCAGAGTATCTAAATATGTTCAGGGACCGAACATGAGTAGTAACAATGGGATTTGCTCTTAAATTTTCAAGATCATGGTATTCAAGTGAGAGTCGGTGGACCTTGCCATGTGAGGGCAACATTTGTTTTCTATTAGTAACAACAGTTACGAAATTTTCTTCAACTGCCTTACATGTAATGAGATCAAGAATCATATCATGAACCTGGCATGCATATACTCTACCATCATACTGGAAATCTACCGGTTGTATTAAGCTTCTGTTGATAAGTTCATTAAAATAGCATTCACCTTCATCCTCCAAATTTCTTCTACCATGTGCACTAACGAATCCTTCTGCTATCCACCTTCTTACCAAATAATCCCTCTTGATCACATAATCTTCTGGAAACATACTTAGATACAATAAACAAGTCTTTAAATGATGAGGAAGGTGATTATAACTCAGAGATAATATCATGTTCATTTCCTCCACATCAGAATTTTTCTCAAGCCCGGAACCAATTGAATCACAAACCTTCAACCAGTCAGCTCTGGTATATGATTTAGTAGTCAACAAACTAGCCATAGTAATAATTGCCAATGGTAAACCACCACACTTCTTAATTATTTCAACCGAAACCTCTTTTAGCTGGTGAGGGCACTTGTCCTCAGAGCCAAAAATTCTTCTAAAGAATAGCCTTTTGGAGTCATCTTCATTTAGCATCCTTAATTCAAATATGAGATCATGGAATGGGGATGAACAAGATTTGGCAATAGTACCAATTCTTGTTGTCACTATTATTCTACTGCCACAAGTATTCTCAACCAAAGCAAATTTAATTGTCTTCCATGCTTGGGTGCTCCATACGTCATCAATTACAATAAGATACCTAAATATGAGATAGAGCTATGAATCAGTTGAAACCTGTAGATTGATATATGCACACTATAATGCGCAAAGTGCGAGAAAAAGCCTCATATCTCACCTTTAACTTTAAGAGTCCTAATGTAATACGTTATGGAGAAGTTAATTTCTAGTGTGTGTGTTTTTTTTAATTCCAGTTAAGACGAGTATTGATTCCAGGAGAATCTAAACAGTTTGATGTATGGATTAATATTCAGTCTGTGACATAATAATAAGAAAAGGTAATTTCTATAAGGTGGTGACTTGAAACAATGCCTCAATGCACATATAAATAATAAAAACATTAACTAACAGAAAAAATGTATAAAGAGAATTTCCGTAAACAAACAAGGTTAAACAGTATTCCAGGCTAGTGTAGATAAATTTAAGATACCTCTTGTCTTTTAGGAAATCCCTCAATTCACTAATGAGAAGTTCCTTGTCACGTGAGCTGGTGCTATCACCCTCATCCTTCTTCACTTGAGACAGTATGGACCGAAATATGATCACCATATCAGGATTTTGGGACAACGACACAAAAGCTTGGCGATCAAATTTCTCAGCAATGTTTTTGTAAACTTGATTTGCAACTGTAGTCTTTCCTAATCCTCCACAACCCACAATAGACACCACCTTGACCCCCTGCACCCCATCATCAACTAGCTTGATGACCTCATCTCTGGGAACACTGATACCAACAAGGCCACCCAATTCTGCATAGAGTGCTGGCAACCGACGGTCCACAGGGATCACATTGATGCCACCAAAATTAACTGTGTCATCAATCTTGTACCTCTTCCTTCTGTGGCTCGCCTCAACAATTCGAGCCTTGAGCTCCTGAATCTGCTCGGCGATCTCATGGCGGGTAACAAGATCTTTCACTTTCTGGACATACCCAAAGAAGAATCCAGTGATCCCACTGTGCCTCTGTGGCTCATTCTGCAGCTGGCGCATGTAATCGTCGACGCAATCCTCAATGTCGTAGCTCATCTCCCTCACCTGGTCCCTCCACTCCTTCGTCTGCGGATCAAGCGTCTCCGAGTCGGCTAGCCTCTCGAGCAGCACATTCATGCTGCTCAGCTCATCCTTGAGGAACGCTATCTCGCGCCTCATGCCCCTATGCATCTTGTAGTCCTCCCCGAGCAGCTCGCCCAGCTTGGCGAGAAGGGACCTCATCACCCCCGTGGCCGCACTCGCCATGAACCCATCCATCTCTCGCTGTGTTATTGCAAAGAGTCAATGAACTGCCAATGGGTAACGGCTTGTTGCTCTGCAATTACTTTCAGATATCTCAGGCATCCAAACAAACTATGCCATCAGAAATAATCAAATAGAGCTTCAGTGAACTGTCAGGATGTTGTGTACTGTTATATGAGAACCAAGAATTGAGCTACCAATTGTCTAGCACTTGGCTGAAGCTGCCAGTAATTTCAGGTATGTGCCAACTTGGAGACAAACTAGGAGCTTATCAAAGCGCGCACATCACGCAACAGAGAGCAGCTGACGGTTTCCCCTCCCCACAGACCGCAGTTGCCTCGATGATTCCTGCAATGTAATTTCAGAAGACTGAATACCTCAAGACCCCAAATTTTCCCGATCGGACTACAGATATCGAGGATGGCGAAAAGGAATTACCCAGGCCTTCGTGTAGGCAGAGCCTCCCGGCGACGTTCCGCTCCCTCCGTACCCGGGATCTGACCAGCAGACCCGCAGCCTCGGAGAGCTGGCGACGAGTGAAACCTCCACCACCTTCTTGCTCAGCGGCGCGGAGAGGGCAGAACAGGGGACGCAGAGGAGCCCGGCGTAAAGTGGTGGCGAGGAGAAGGGGGCACGGAAGAACCCAAACCGGCCAAATCATCGGCCAGCACCGTCGAGTCAACGCGGCGAAGTAAGAAAAGTCACCCCGCGTCTGGTTCTTGGGCTGGGACGCTGGGCCATCGATTGCAATGGATGCCCACCCACCTGGCCACCCCTGCGGATGCGCGCCGCTGTGGACTCCCACCGCCCGCCGCCGCCTCCTTCCCCCTCGCGGATAATTCCAGAGATAGTATTGTGATTTGTGAGCCCACATCTGTTCTCTGGGACCCGCCGCGGGTAGGTGTGGCCGTGTGGGGTTGGTGGGTGAGTGGGCCCTGGGCAACAACAACTGATGGCACAATTGCCAGTTGACACCACCAAGCAGTTGGTCTGGGATTTCGGGCAGCAGGAACAGCGTCGGCCCGCGTTCGCCCCTTCGCTTCAAATCTCCTGACGCAGGTGAGCTCATGATCCGTTCTTTGTCCTGGTATTTCCTCTCCAGACTACTCCCCTGTGGATTTTCAATTTCACTGTTCAAGCGGGGAGATTTCCGCTCCGTGCGTTTGGTTGCAGCCGCACGCGCGTGAGGTGTTCGATGCTTTGTGCCAGTTAGAGCTTTCAGGGCCCAACCTATCCTGCTGTCATTCCAACTTCAGGTCGCTTTGTCTGATTTGCAGGTGCGCATGGTATGGCCGACCTCATCTGCTTGCGCGCCGGTCTGAGGAGTTCACCGTCACTTCCACGGTCGTCGTCCACCCGGGCACCACCACCGGCCTCACAATCACAAGTGACAGTTCGATTTACAAGCCCACTGTTCTGTTGTGCCAAACTTTGTAAGAGCCGTCCTTTGCTGGCAGCAGCACTGGAGGTCTCTAAGGACGGGTCCTCCACGGATCTGGCCAATAGCCTGCCTTGCAAAGGTTCTTCATTTTTCTCTTATTTGGATTGGAAGCCTTCCAAACGATGTTTAATTAGGATAGTCTACCACGCGGCTGATCAGTGTCCACGTCAGATTCCTTAACTGCACTGTGAGTGACTTGGGAGTAACATTCTTTTTTGCTTGCCTTCATGTTTACAGGGGCTGTCGAGACATTGCGCAGTGCTGATGCGGTATGTTTCGATGTTGATAGCACCGTCATCCTGGATGAGGGCATTGACGAGCTTGCTGATTTCTGTGGGGCAGGGAAAGCTGTTGCTGAATGGACAGCAAAGTAAATTCTCCATTCTGTAGATTGAGTCATCTGGGCGGTTGATTTTGTGGGAAGAACTAACCTTGCTTAATGTTCTCAGGGCCATGACAGGGACTGTTCCATTTGAGGAGGCGCTGGCCGCCAGGCTGTCTTTAATCAAGCCTTCTCTCTCCCAGGTGGAGGAGTGCCTGAAGAAGAGGCCACCAAGGTAAGCTCACCTTATTCGAAACTTCATGTTAGTCTGTATGATAACCACTATTTTAACGCCATTGCTTTGCCTTCCTTTTTTTATCTATTTGGATTCTGCACCTCTGCTATTTACCTTTTTGAAATAATGGGTATGTGCTATAGGTTTTTATCCCTTTGCTGTTTCTACCCTTATACATAGAAAAAGTAATTAGTAACAATAATTGACTGTCCAAGTTTCTCATTTTATGGCAAGACAAAAAGTAAGTAGAGTTAGTACTTCAAATTTGTACAGCCAACCACAGCATTATCATTTTGGCCAATTTGCCTTATGACTTCTGTTGTAGTGCCCTAAGATTTCTCGAAATACAGTATAAAAACCAAGAGAGAACTCACTCAACATTGTTTTCCCCGCACTGCAATAGAGTTAACTATTGTGTTTCTACTTACAAACCAGCATTGGACAATTTCTTGGTCCACTCACAAGATTATCAATATAACTGTCTTTTGGTTTGCAGGATTTCTCCTGGAATGGCTGATTTGGTTAAGAAGCTAAAATCCAATAATATTGATGTGTTCCTTGTGTCAGGAGGCTTCCGACAAATGATCAAGGTAGGTCCTGTAATATGATAGCGTGATTCATTTGTGTTGGCTTGTAGTCGAATTTGTATGCCCGTTATATTCTGATGATGGAGCAAACTGTATTTTAATGTATCTGTAGTTTAAGATAGACCTACATTATCAGTTGCAATCATAAATAGGGATGTAACTTCTCATACAAGATCCAACAAGTACAATTTCTTTAAACCATACTTTATTTTAAGTTGCCAATGTGATCAATGTAATATGCAAGTGATTCTCACATGTATATATAATGGGTTATCATTGACTGGTCCACAATCATCACTTTTGTGTTTGCCTTGTTTCCAGCCTGTGGCATTTGAGCTTGGTATTCCTCCTGAAAACATCATTGCAAACCAATTGTTATTTGGCACTTTGGGGGAGTATGCTGGATTTGATCCCGCAGAGCCCACTTCACGCAGTGGCGGTAAAGCAAAAGCAGTGCAGCAAATAAAACAGGTCTAGTTAAACTGTATATCTTTTGGTTGCAGCCTTTTACTTCTTACTAGTGTGCTAACATTTGTTTCTGATCAGGACCATGGCTACAAGACAGTTGTTATGATTGGTGATGGTGCAACTGATCTGGAGGTATATGGCTGGATAATGCCTTTAAAACTTCTATCCTGACAATAGATATGAAGTTATGAGCATGAATATGTCTTATTGGGTAACCAGTAGTTGTTGACACTAACTTCATTTTTGTAATGATATGGGTGCTTCCTGGCTGATTCGATTAATGAGGAATGCAAACCTTTCTTACTGTTTGTGTTTCACTCAAATTTTGTAACGTTGTTTCTCTTGTTCATGTAGAGTGAGATAGAAATAATAGGTAACTTCTGCAAAAATATAATTTATCAGGATATGAGTGGGCCAAAGAGTTAATTTTGCTTAAGGCCTGTCGAAAGAAATTGGTTTGCATTGAGGCTAGTAACATCTGGCAGCTGTTCTTTAGTGAATATTTCAGCTTAATGATACAGAACTTCTCTGATATATCAGTGTATAGAAATTTTATTTACAATACTGTACCAAAATAAAAATACTATATACAGTTACATTAATTCGCCCATGTCTTTGCAGGCTCGGCAACCTGGCGGAGCAGACTTGTTCATCTGTTACGCTGGTGTTCAGATGAGAGAGCCAGTCGCAGCAGAAGCTGACTGGGTAGTTTTTGATTTTCAAGAGCTGATCACGAAGTTGCCATAAATTGATTACTTTACCACAACTTATGAACCTTGCATTCTTGGTGCTGAGTGGCTAAATAATTGCGGCCACATTTGAAGCTGTAGGTTTCACTAGCAATTCTTGGAGTTAATTGAATTATCTGGTTGTAAAGTATTTTTTATTTTTTTTTCGCCACTGTATTTGCATGATCCTGAACCACAGATGTGGTGGTTGTGTTCCGATGTTGTCAGTGAAGTATCCTCTAAGCAATTGTTGAGTATGTGAGTAATGAATTACATCACAGTTTACTAAGTGCTGAATGCCTGATTGACACCTTTGTTTTGGCAAGTATTGTTGACTAGTCTGTCAAATAGTGCATGTCTTAAATTTAACCAAGAATGCTGACTTGCTATGTCTGTTGCTATTTGAAGCCTTCGTTGATTTCCCATAATATTTGTATTAGGAAACAGACTATCGACCTTTTGAAACCGAACTATTCGCAAAAACTGTTCGGCTGGTATTAAAGTTGGCTGATAAGCCGGTTGAAGCTATTTTGTTGTGAGAGAAAAATACTGTAGATTCTAGCTGATAAGCCGGCTGATAAGTTCAAGCGAACAGGCCATCTCGATGCTTAATTAAGGTATCTTCTTTTCTTTTTGAAAGAGAGTGTTCTTTTCTTTTTTGTTCGCGTAAAGGCAGAAGCGATCAGGTAGAAGAAAATACAGCACTGCGAGGATGCACACCACTGAATAAAGTACAGGCACTAACACGATAGGATACACCGACAGAGGTTACCTTATTGCAGAACAATACCATTCCACGAACAACACCCGTTCGTTTAGGTTTGTTTGGCTTATAAATCGTATTTTTTCGATCAACGAAGAATATTTTTTTTTTACACTAAATCAGCCAACAGTACTTTAAGCCATGGCTTATCAGTCAAATAAGCCCAAACAAACATGGCACAAATCATACAACTGATATATCACAAAGCATGGTTCTGCTAATAGTCAGGACCATTAAGCCATGGATTGCTCCATCTGACCTAATGCTTAGAGCGGGACCAACGCAGACCACTCAAGATAGGATTGGAACAAGTGGAGCAGCTACTGTCCCAACGCAGCAGAAGTATGGGTACTGCTTCACCTGCATACCGAGCAAAGCAGCGGGACCACAGGCTCAGGCACCTCTGATGGACTACGAAACCACCAACCCATGCTCTCTTTCCTCCACGCGGCATCCGAGCCTAGGTGGCTGGCCTTAGTGCCTTTTCCAATCCAATCTCTCTCTCTCACAGATCTTTTATACTTTTTTTTGCTATAGATAGAATACCTAACTCTTGGAACCTTCGGTCTGTTCGTTTGGCTGTGGCTTGTTGTAAACGATCGTAAATTTTCAGTCAGAACAGTATTTTTCTCTCACACAAACCAGCTAGTAATACTTCTTCACAAACCAGCAATAAAATGAACCAGCCAACCGAATAGGCTGCTTGTAGATAGATAGGGACATATATCAGCTAGCTAGCTGCTGCAGTGGAGCAGCAGATGGGACGTCCCTTTCCCCAACTTGTGGCCTCCGGTGCTTTCTCCAACCACAAGCTATCAGCCACCAATTGTGGCCTGCTTCCTCGTCAGCTACTCCCTCGGTTCCTAATTATGTATCGTTTTTTTCTTGAGAAATAATTTTAACTAAATATATATTAAAAAATATTAATATTTATAATACATAATTAGTATCATTGATAGATATTTAAATTTAATTTTTTAATAAATTTATTTAGAGATAGAAAAATTATGAATACGTAAATTGTATGACGATTAACATTTAGGGGCATAGGGAGTACATCTATAGGAGTCACACAAAAAAAAAAAAAAAAAAGGCTAGCTTTGCACCTGCCGTATCAAGCTGTACTGACTGCAGCCCACTAGCATCAGTTGGGACCCGACTTGAGTTTCATTTTCTAATTTCTAAAACATGTTCGTTTGATCGTATCAGATATAGTTTTTTTCTCTCACAACAAAACAGCATCAGTCGACTTATAAGCTACAGAAATGATCAAGTGAATAGAGTGTTTAAGAGGCAACATCAGGTGCAGCTACATGAAAAAAACGCTTGAACATAAGCGTTTCTTTGGCAAAAGAAGCCAGAATATGGCTTCACCCCACGACCACGAGCTATCAAAATTAAAAAATGCTGCCGACACCAATTCAACACGTGGCCATATATATATATGGCTTTGCTTCGAGCGAAAGAGATTTGAAATCCAAATCCTCAGGCGTTTCGTACGATTTGTGACAAATTCGCTCACGAATTGAATTTGCGGAGGAAACGTTCCTCTCTCTCTTGATCTCACCAGTGGTCGGTCGGTCAGACGGTCAGTGAGGGAGTCACCCGGTGGGGCCCACGGAAACACCCCTCCATCGTTTTCCCAATCATCATGGCGACGCGCCGCCAACCGGATCGGAAATTTTAGAACCGCCGCCCGCGCGGGCCCCACACACCCCCGCACCGACGCCGACGCGGGTCCTCGCCGTCCGATCCGCGGGCGCCCCGAGACCAACGGTCGCGATGCGGTGCACCCGCCCCCGCGGCCGCGCGGCGCGCCGCTATTAATAGCGACACCAGCCTCCGGCGATGCAAGGTGGCACTGTAAGCAAAGCAGCTTCCTTTCGCCGGCTAGCGGAGAAGTAGTCGAGTGGCGTGGAGCGTGGAGATGGGCCGTGGCCGGGGCGTCAGCTACGGGGGCGGGCAGAGCTCGCTGAGCTACCTCTTCGGCGGCGGTGGCGACGAGCCCGCCGCGGCGCCCGCCAAGCCGGCCGCCGCGGCGGAGCAGAGGGCGCAGCAGCCTGCGCCTGCGGCGGCGGCGGCGCCGCCGGCGGCCGCAGACGGCGAGAAGCAGAAGGGGATCCCGGCCGGCGTCCGCGGCAGCCAGACCAACAACTACTTCCGGGCGCAGGGGCAGAACTGCGGCAACTTCCTCACGGTCAGTCAGTCGCCGCCTTGCAGCTAGCTATTCCTCTTCTTCTTCGGTCGTCGTCGTCCCCTTTTGCCTCTGCGCTCCTGACATCGTTATCCGCCACGGCGTGACTCACAGGACCGCCCGTCGACCAAGGTGCACGCCGCGCCGGGCGGCGGGTCGTCGCTCGGCTACCTCTTCGGCGGCGGGCCCCCCGGTAGCAAGTGATGTGTGATGGCCACCTTCTCAGTTCAGACTGCGGAGCAGAGCTCCATCTAGAGCGCCGCTTGCTTTGGCAAAGTTTGATTTTTACTAGTTCATCGTAACCTGCTGGATGTGCCGTGCCGTGCCGTTAATTTCCAAGGAGAAATGTTCATGTGTATCTCTGTGATTTAGAAATGTTCATGTGTATCTCTATCTCTGCAATTTCATTGGAATCGGTCGTCTCATCAGTACCTGTATGTGTGTGTCAAAAACTGACTTTGTCCTGCTTGCTGTTGCATCTGTTCATCACAAGTTCAGAACATGTGTTCATCAGAAGTTCAGAACATGTGTTCATCTGAAGTTCAGAACACGTGTGAAGTGTTCCCAATACTAATGGTCCAGATTCTGTTTACGCTTGAAATTGGCACATGTGTCCATCTACCATTTCACAGGTTTACGCTTGACTACTACAGGTGCAGAACATCTTATTTGCATTTGTTCATCACGCTTGAATACTACAGGTGCCGAACCTGCCCCAATGGATGGACCATCTCAGGTTCCAAAACTTTTTATATCCTTCCTATTCTCTTGTGAAATAAGATGCCACACAGCACCTGCAAGCAGAATTCTATATGGCCAACAGCACCTCACTACTGCACAGTCCAAAGTTTAGCACAACTTGACCTCAACATTTTGCTTGATAAAACCACCTCATGCTGGGAACAAAAGCATCTTCTTGGTTCAAAAAGGATGGAGCAACTGAAGGACCGCATTTGCTTACAAATAACGCAAACCAGCTTCAGAATCAACCCATGGACTTTCAAGTCTTCAACACCACATGGATAGGATAGGACGAACCGTGGAAGGAGACAAAAAATGTGGTCCCCTGAGCCTCAGAAAATGGGGTTTACCCTGAGCCTGAAGAGTATCACCAAGTGTAATAACTCTTCATATGTGGCCATGAATCACAATTAGCGACACCACAGAAACAAACGTTGATCAGACGAACACCACTACAATGCCAGCATCTCAGTCTAAGCCAAATAGTTATTATTGCAAGAACATCCAGAACCACGGGACTCCAAATGATTATACGAGCGTAGGTCGTTAATTTACAGCTTTCCGATGAAACTATCACCGGACAACCGAGGCACCTCTAAGCCTCCACAAGGCAGAGGCAGGGGCACAGACAGGCAAACGGGGCAACCTTCCCCGCTGTTTGAAAGAAATCGTAAAAGAATGTTTATGTGCACCGTTCCAGCATTTGGAGAGCACTCGTACGGCCAAGAGGAACCCACTACCAATTCAGTATTTACAGGGCGTATTTACAGAGAACCTGCTGGGCTAGACCATCTGTATTTTCAGAATGTCATATGAGAAGGTTGTTAATCCATGGTGGAGAGTCCAGCCAGAGGATTATGTTGTCTCGTCAAACTCCATCTTCTGCATTGAATTACAAAGTGGGAGGTCAATTAAGCGTCCATCAAAGAAAATAACATTCCGTGAAGAAGGAATGGTAAAATAGATAACAATTGCCATCAGTTATTATACATTAATTTATTAGAGTATTAATTCTTGATGAAACTTGAGACAACACAGGCCCAGCTTACAATTAGGCCCCTGTTTGGATCCATGGAATTGAATTCATTTTAATAATCACAATTTAGACACATATTAATTAAGCTAATATAGTTATATATATATTTGTATATTATTGTTGGCTATACGAGAGAAATACTTATGTGTTACATTTCTACCATAGGAGAGCGAGTTGAAGAGCGTGTTATAAGTTGCAAAGTAGAAACATAGCAGGGTGATCTATAGAATCAATTTCCACCTCCCACCCTATGAATTTGAGATAGACTTACATGTAAACTTTAGAAAGTGGTGGAATGTCAAATTCCAAGCCAAATAGCATAGTCTATTAAGTAGATTTCAATTCCTCCAAATGAAAGGATCCAAACGGACCCTTAATGAAAATCAGACACAACAATCAGTAAGCATCAAACTATTACTAATACTTCTTTAGTTTTAAAAATCTGACTCAAAATAAAATTATCTGCAAACAAATCCCTAATGCAGACAGTCCACGTTCCTTGGGATGTATTTTAGCCTACTTTTATAATGCAGACAGTACAGATTTCTTGTGACTTATTTCAGTTCAGCCTACTTTTACAAAATTCCAATAACACAACATTCAAACTAAAGGCTTTATTGCTTGTTTTATAGCATGTATTTAAAGAAGTTGGAATGCAGATATGAGGCGGGTGACTTCAGTTCCTGTAAGTAAATTCAGGTTACTGGCTTCATAGCAGAACAGGTGAAATAAAATTTGTGTGGGGCTTGATATATGCGTGACAGCAATAATAAACTATAAGTTATAAAGGTGAGTAAAGAGAAACAAATTACCTTTCCGCAAACAGGGCATGCCTCACTTCTTTCCATCCACTCATAAATACAGCCAAGGTGGAAATGGTGTGAGCACTGCATTACTATCCTAGGATTCTCAGAATCATAATCTGCAATTTAGTTACATTAACATATAACAATAGTGAGAATGTGATTATAAAGTACAACAGAGAAAAATGTAATGCTCATAGTTTTGAACATCTTTCGGTTAATTCGCATGTACCAAAGTTCCGATGTCATGGAAATTTTACTGTAGCGCTTTGCAAAAGATACTAGAGAAAAAAAGGTAATGATTACTGCGATAATACCTTCAAGACATGTTGGGCAGACATCTTCATCTTCAGCAGATGGGGAAAAATAGCTGAAGTAATTTCCATGTTCCCTTGGTGGCACCTTATCTCCATAAGCAGAGCTGGAGATTTTCATTTTTCTGCTGTAGTTTGTTTTACTTGCCTTGTCTATTCTACTTGGTGTCTCCATTTCCTCCTCCTCATCATTTGCTCTAAGTGGTTCTGATTCCTCTGGGGAATGGCTTGGGCTCTCACGCCTTAACCAGTCACGAGCAGGAGGGGAAAATCGTGGATCACCGTAGGGCAGAGGTCTTGGGGGTGAACGATACGTATCGAAGGAGCTTTCATTTGAATCAACAGGAGTGGCTTCAATAGCTGGAGAAACAGAATGCACTGCTCCAGCTCGGAACAAAACAGTGTACTGAAAACAAAAGAGGAGATCAATATGTAACCATTTCCCATCTGTATCATCTCAACTTAAATGAGCTATTTATTCCAAATCCGAGTTTATATCAGTATATACAATTGAACACTTTTTTTGTATGAGTTCCCATGCTTGCTATGAGCCCCCCAAACATACATATATTAATGACAAAAGGTGTTGTTACTAGAGAGCAATGCAATTTTTTAACCAAGTACATCGGTATGTAGCACAATATGACAATTAATTTTGGCCAAGCACTGAAACAACAAATACAATGTTACCAATGAGAACAGTATGCCACATACACTGTTAAGTATCCATTCCAGAATAAATTTCAATCATTTTCTGTAACTCGTAAAAACTGCATTGCATCGTTTCACTTTGAAATATTTACACAAGATATCATTGCACATTTAAGTTTAACAGAAACAGTTAATAAAGTTCTCAGCTTGCAATGTGCAGTGATTACAAACCTTGTCCCACTGATAAATTGAATTAAAAAATGCCAGCTATTATTTTCTTACACCAACTCTACAATGTGCTCACCACTAGCTAGAACGAAATTCAATCTGTAAGGAATCAAGCATCCATGATAAGAAGAACATACCGCATTGATCAGCTGCTGGGTAAAGCATCTGAGGCACATGCAGTTCCTAAACACTGAAGAAGCTTGGTTTCCATGGTGGTCGGAATAATCAGGTTGCAGACATGAACAGAAAGCTCCCATAGTCCAAGGAAACCTCAGAAAGGGGTTCCTTGAACCAGAACTCTATAACCAGTAAGCCCGGCCTGATACCGAATGCTCAAAGAAAGTGAACTGATGCAGATGCGCAGCCAAAGCCTCCTCCAAAATCCCAAATCGGTTTACAACAGACGGAGGTGGAAAGTCGAAACGAAGCAACTGCTTCGTCTACTTGCCGATACCTATCAATGGCAGCCAACAAAATCGAGTCATTCCACAGAAGGTTTTGGACAGACACATCCACATCCACAGAAAAAAAACATCTGAAGTTGACAACAAAGTTTCATCTTTCTGCAAATTGGGACTTGGACGCAAAGCTCTGGCTCCAGGAGCACCACCAAAATCCGATCCACGTAATCCCCATCCAACAACATTGTTCAGTCTGGCAACACCACAACACAATCCATCCCATCCCATTCGACGCAAGAAGAAATAGTAATACTATCAGGCCAGCGGCACCCAAATCGATTCTAGCGTCTACCAATCGACCTACTCAATCGTATATATCACGGAAAAACATGAGTAGCAAAGGATCGACAGACGTGTAGCCCACGAACGGCACCAAACCCTGGACAATCCAACCTTCGCGCGACGCAGCTGGCCCCGGAAACAAGATCAAAATCCCACCTTTGCCGATTGCCTCGACTCCGCCCACCGGCGACGAATCGAGAAGCGACGAGGGAAGCGAGATCCGGGGAGAGCCGGACGAGACGAGGAGGAGGAAGGATGAGGAAAAGGGGGAACGGCGGATTCACCTGCAAGAAAGGAAGGGGCGACGGGTTTACGGAAACCTCCAGAACCGCGGAGAAGGAGATTATAGGAGAATAATATCTGCGGCGTTGATCAATCGGCTAAGGAAAGAAAGATCCCAGCGTGTCGAGCGGCCCGATTGGGGTGGGGGCGTGGGTGGATTCGGCGCGGCGGCAGGGCAGGCGCTGCTGCTCCTTGCGATTCCGGCTGTCCCTTGCCCTGTTGGTGGACGGACGCGAGAGCAGAGCAGAGCAGCGGAGGGAGGCTTATCGGGACGGGTCCCGTGGCGAGAGGCCGGCCCGCGGACCCGGTACGGAGCGGCGCCGTGGCCGTGGTGATGGCGCCGACGCCGATGCCGACGGCCAGCGAAAGGGAAGGAAACAGAAGCTGCGTTGACTCCGTCGCTGCCTAGTGAGTGCCCTGTGAAGATTCTCCCTCCCCCCTTTGCTTGGCTCCTTTCTCGCTCTCGCTTCTCCGGGGACAGGGGAGTAGGGACACGGACAGGGCAGGGCAGGGTAAGAAGGAAGGCGGGGGGAGCGGCGGGCGGGCGGCACGAGGAAGGATTAGGTGGGGTGACCACCGACGCGTGTTGAGCCATCCCCATGTGAGGTCCAGCTTCGCTCATCATGCTGGCGTGCCGTGGCGTGGCCAGGCCGCGGCGCTGTGGCGACGTGGCGTCACGAGATGACGTGTGGTAGAATAGCCCAATCCACGGACCACGGCCTGCTATAGAAAATTACCTAAAAAAAAAAAATTTGTTAGGGTTGATTGTTGCCCCAGAAAAAATTTCATTTCTCCATCATGTGAATAAAGATTTATGTGACTTAAGAAACCAGCCTAATTGGCATCCACCAAATCAAAGCGGGCTCCACGGCTACTCCCCTATAGAAAATTACAATTCTAAATATATAAAATTTGTTAGTCAAGGAAGCTCAAGTCTGATTAAAAATTTACAAACTTGCTACCACTCGGACGTTCGGATCGTGTGTCCCCATGAACCTGTAGTACTTTTCTCGTGGCATTTTCGCGCGCCCACCTAGGACCCACGTCATCCCGAACATCATGAAAAGAGAGGGCAAGGGAGGCAGAGGCCCAGCCGGCGCCGGAAGAAGGAGGAGACACTGAGACAAGGCAGCAGAAGGTGAGGAGGGATATGCAACACCCAATCTACTTGTGAAACATTCAGATGCAACAGTTGCAACATATGTCTGAAAGACACTTGTAAAAACACATGAAAAATAATTGAAACTATTATAAAAACATACGCAACATCTAGATAAAACACTTACAATATGTGTGTGAGACATATGCAACATCCAAATAAACACACTTGCAACGTTGAAAGAACCTTGTTTGGTTTTAGTAATTGAGGGACAACCTAGGTGGACTAATTGTGTTTAATATGAGATACACAGGTGATTAGTCCATAGGTATACTTGTGTGAGCAACTAATGCCATAGAGGTTAAATGGCTTGGATATGTTGCAAAGCTCACACATGTATTGAAGGAGCTCATTGCATATAAGACATGACATAGAGTCATGTGATCAAGGTGGAGAAGATCAAGACAAGACTTGGCTCGATGGACCGGTTGAAAGTGTGAAGGTCAAGTTGAGTGATGACTTGGTGCCGATGGACCAAGACGACGGTGAAGAACAAGTAAAGTCAAAATCGATGAACCAATACGGTTACGTGATGATATGAAGTGGATCATATCATTTGGTGATTGATTGGTGCTTGTGTTGCATCAACAATATAGGAGATGGAATGGAATGTACAAGGTAAAGGTATATTTGTAGGGCATTTTATTTTATCGGTCAAATGTTGTGTAGAAAAGTGCATGACCGGGTTTAGAATAGATAGTCGTACTATCAAGAGGGGCAAACTTGTTTGCACATCGGTCATCCAGTGCCACTTGAGAAATCTGACTTTGCATACGTGTTAGGATCGAGTGGCGTTGAGAAAAGAGTGCTAATCCTTTGAAAAAATGTTTGTGAAAAACTAACACACGTGCACAAGGTGGAGAACACTTGGTGGTGTTAGCACATTTGCAAAGGTGAAGAAAAGGAGACGAAACTGGGCTCGGAGTGCTGCCCTGGAGGCACCGCCCCTAGCTGTCCGGTGCACCGCCACCCCAGTTGTGGTGACCGGCTGGTCGAGGCCGAGAGCAGGGGTTGGAGCTGGCACCGTCATGCCTTGTCCGGTGCACCGCCACCCCTGTGATGGTGACCACCTGGACTGGGCCAACAGGAGTTACTGCTGGGGCTGGCATCGCCAATGGCGGTGTGCACCGTCTCTAAGACGAAGGTGCACCGCCAGATTGTGTCTGGTGCCACCGCCGTGGGCACCGCCCCATTTCTCCTGAGACTAGCTATTTTGTTGGTTGAGCGAGGGGGTCACCGCCATGGTCACCGCGGTGCACCGCCCTAAAATTCCAAAGAGGGGGTGTTTTGGGACTTAGCCGGCTATGGCACCGCCCCTCCTATGGCGATGGTACCGCCACCCAATGTCTGGTGACCAATGGCTAGTTACCGTTGGAATTTGACCATTTGAAAGGGCACCGCCGTGTCTGGTGCCCTCGCAGAAACTAGCAGCTTTGCTCCAACGGCTCTATTTAGCTTGGGGCTATAAATAGAGGTGGAGCTCGGCCTTAGGCTGGTTATTGAGCACACTAGAGCCTTGGTGGCTTATGTGGTGGTGCTTGGGAGCCCTCTAACTCATGATTGGTAGTGATCATCCGATCGAGTGAGTGAGTGATTCTAGTGCGATTGCATCGTGAGGTTGTATTGAATGACACTAGGTGATCGAGTTGTAAGCCGGTGGTGCTTATTACTCTTGGAGGTTACCACCTCCTAAATGGCTTCGTGGCTTGTGACTCCGTTGAAGCACGTGAAAAATTGTGCGGTGCTACGGAGGAGGATTTGTGAGGGGGATTGTGCTCAACCCACGGGGATCACGAAGAGCAACTCTAGTAGAGTATGTAATTGAGCTACCCTTACTTTCGGGGTAGGTTCTTGCGGTGCCCGACATCCGGGCTTGGCGGGTGATGCCAATTAGCCGTCGAATCACCAAGTGAGCGGTCGACACAACGGGGACTAGTGTGTTGGCAAGCACGTGAACCTCGGGATAAAATCATCGTGTCATCCTTGCCTTCCCGTTGGTTTGCATCCTCTTTACACAAGCTTGTCCTTACATTTCATACATTGTGCTTATGTAGTTGCTCTTGTAATTAGTTTGCTTGTGTAGCTTGCTAGTTACCTTCTTGCTTGTGTAGCATAGAAGTAGCTCCCTCGTGTGACTAATTCGGTTTGAGTAACCTTGTTAGTTACATTGCTTAGTTTGTGTAGCTAAGTAGTTTGCGCTCTCTAATTTGGCTTTGTGTAGCCTTGTTATTGAGCATTGCTAGTGAGCTTTGTGCGCTTTGCATCACTAGTTGTGTAAGAGCTCCCCCGGTTGCTTGAAGTACTAGTTGTATAGGTTTGTGTGACCTTGCAAGCTAGAATTATTAGGTGAGCTTTAACTAGCCTAGCACCTTTGTTGTCTTTTTAGGATCTTAATAAGGTGCTTGAGAACTTAGATAGAGGGGTGTAGTCTTGGCTAGACCGATAGTTTTAATTCCGCCTTTGTTTCGGTTAGCCGACACGATTATTTTTAGAAAGGATTATTCACCCCCCTCTATCCCGCCATCTCGACCCTACACATGGTATCAGAGCTAGGTCTCTTATTTGTGGTCTTCACCGACCCGAGAGGATGGCGTCTTATGGGCTAGATGTTGAGTGTCCATACACTTTTGATGGCATACACTTTGCACGGTGGAAAAAATTGGATGACATGCAATTTTAAGTTCATTTCCCCTTAAATGTGGTGGATCGTAGATGTGGGCTTTTCTCATATGTTGGATGAAAAGAATGCAACTCAAGCGCAAAAGAAATGGCTACATCTCGATTGTCAAGTTACTAACATTTTCTATCAATCTATGAGTGACAAGGTATTTGGAGAGATCATGTACATGAAGACCGCCCATGATATTTGGTTGTACCTCAATTTGATATATGGGAGGGTCTCCAATGATGATGATGATGAGCCTAAGGAGGAAGGACATAAGTGTGTTGAGCATGACCACAATTCGGTAATTGTGGAAGATTGCTCCACCTCTTGGTTAGGTGATGATGATGATGATCATTCTACCACAAGTTCACTTGATAATGTTGATGATGATGCTAGATGCAAATGATG